ATGTACAAAGGAACAGCAAAGTACCAGCTAACAATTCTCATGTCTAATGATCTTAACGGATTTTACAGAGACTTTCTTTGTATTTGAGTTATCTATGAAGACGAATGTCACCTATAGCTCTTCAAGCTCAGTACGGACCGTGACCGAATGGTGATGGACTGTATCAATCGTTGTCCGGGGGCGATTATCTCCACCCTGGATCGCGAGTGTACCTTTTGTACACATTCTATTGTCATGCTAGTAGACAAAGACGGTCTTATTGGTTATGTGTGTTATTTATTTACTATATCGGAGACAAACGGGAACAAAAGACGAAGTAAGAAATAAAAATTAACACACAGCACGCGGGTATTTACAGGTGCTCCCTTAACTAAAGTCTCACTGAGAACAAATTTATTATTAGTCGGTAGCACACTTACGGCAGAACTATTACAATAACAGAGGACACATCACTTAATAATACACCCACGTATAGTGTTATTAAGTGATCATATACCTGTCCCAGAAGCTAGACCCCCTGGACGCCCAAGGAAGCGATGGCTGGACGCCGTGGAAAAGGACATGAGAGCCAATAGACTGACCCCTGCGGATGTCGAAGACCGGGCAAAGTGGAGGAGCTTAAGTAGGAAGGCGGACCCTGGCAATAGCCGGGATTAATGCCAGGTTGAAGAAGACGTGCGTATAGCGTTCTCTAGTAGAGCCCCCGGAGGGTTTGACATACACTACATCATGTTTTGCGGGTGCAAAAAAGTTTTCTCATGTATTTCTTAACTTTTACTTCATTGTTTAATTCTCAGAATAGGATTATATATCACTAGCTTTTCGCCCGCGGCTTCGCTCGCGTTGGAGTCCTTAAATAAATATCTATCCCCTTTATAACACTTTTTCCAATTCAAAAATTGCCTATGTCCTTTCTCAGGCTCTAGACTATCTGTGTGCCAAATTTCATTTATATCGGTTCAGTAGTTTTGTGGTGAAAGCGAGACAGACAGACAGAGTTACTTTCGCATTTATAATATTAGTATGGATAAATTTAGTCTTTTAAAAAATAAATTTTGTATAAATGCAGGCGTATCATAAACTTTCATCATTTATTAATTTTATCGAATGCCGAAACGAGATTCAACGTGAAATTTTCCGATACTTCGTTAAGTCGCCCGTAAATATTGCCATCGAAAATTAATTTACGTTAGCGATGCTATCGCTCTCAACATCAATTACACTCCCCACTTCTTGCCATTTAAGGGTGAGGGTGGGGGTGACATCCCCCCCATAAATATTTATCAATCCCATAATGCTGGATGGCGAGACGCTCGGTATGTGCCGCTTTACATGAATTATTTGTTTTTACTTTGCGTCTTCGTGTTTTAATATATTTCTATATGTAACTTCCACGATGTCTTAACATGACTGAGATATCAGCAGTACATTTGGTATGTTTAGTATTTTAAAGTAAAGCAGTAAGTGTAGCAGTATGTTTAGTAAACATTTATTTTTAACCGACTTCAAAAAAGGAGGTTTCTCAATTCGACCGTATATATTTTTATTTTTCTTTTATGTGTGTTCATGGATAACTTCGTCGTTTATGAACCGATTTTGATGATTCTTTTTTGTTGGCAAGGAGATATACCAAGGGTGGTACCATGATAAGGAAACCCGGACCTGATGATGGCATCCCAGAGAAATCGAGGGCCATCATTGAGTGTAATGGTTTTAACAAAGTCGGTTTTGTTTTTGTTAAAAATTATGTTAAGTTTATTAGTATTCATGTTTATTACAAGAGTTATTACATTCAGTTATTAGAAGAGATTTTACTCATATATATAATACAGTGCTGATTTAAATTACTTTTAACAATGGTGTATGGTGCCGAAGAATATCTAAAATTAAAACACGTACTATGACTAAAAGTAACAATCAATTTGAACATGAAGTCAAAGCTTACGGCATCAATTGTCGGGATTGAGATGATGATCATTCCAGTATTAAGTTATTTGAAAATTTTATTTCTTAAAATAAATTAAACCGATATTTCGAAAACAAATTTCAATACATATAAAAGCTCAAATTGACAATAGTGTATAAAGTTATGAGTTTAGTATTTGTGTATAAGTGAACGCTTCGACAATGTTAGACATTTTACGTAGATCGTTGTCAAAGAGTACTTTTATATATTTAAAAGAGTACTTTTATATATCTGAACGTTGTCTTGATAAAAAATATTACACTTCTATTTCACTAGGTGATCAGAGGTATACTGCGAATCATTTAATAAAACAAAGTAAGTATATTTGGGCTTTAAATAATAGATAGCGAAAGTTTTTGTCTAAATTATCTGTAGGTAGTGGTAGGGCCACACAGCAGCCTCGGCTGTTGCACGAATGGGCAGGCCCGTCCGGGTAAGTACCACGACCTCACAAAAGACCAGCGTAAAGTGGAAGTATGACAAATACTTTCGCGTTTCGTCTGGTGAGTGAGGTAGCCGGAGCCCAATTTTTAAAAGGTTGTCAACGCATCTGTAACCCTTGAGTGTGGCAGATGTCCATGGGCGGCGGTATTCACTTATCATCAGGTGAACCGCCTGCTCGTTTGACAACTCTTCGCATAAAAAAAAAGGTAGCTTTTCGAGACTTCGCTTATACGGCAGTAGGAAGTGTAAATTGAGCGTTAGTTTTTATTTTTATTACTACCACTTACTTTTAATACTACTGACATACTGCGGTGTTATTAAATCATTATTTTAAAGGTAATTGTTATTTATGTAATGAACATATTTATGTGTACTGAGTTGTTAAGTTTCTTATAAAAACTCTGACTAAGAAAACTCCGTAAAGTAACAACTTGTATAGATCCCACTGTTAGGCAAGCGTCCCTTTACTGAGGATATTAGAGCATAGTCCACCACGACACCAACGTGGATTGGTAAATTTCAAATATCTTTGATTGTTTCATTTTTATCGTTTCGAAAATGTGTAGGGTGCCTAACCGCTGAGCACGTGATAATTCAGCACTTCAAGTTGCAATTTACAATGTCATTGGTGCCGATACGGGATTTGATGTCAGGTTATTCGATTGAATTTAATTAAAAACGAGTCCCTTGTCACCATGCCATGGTGCTGATACATTTTAATTTTATTAATTGAAAACGAGCCCCTAGAGAAGAGCCACATTTTATCTTAACGAGATAAAAGTTATGACAAACACGTAATGAATTAATATTATCACTACACGGATCCTTAAGAGAAATCGTGGAAACTTCCTAGATAGATACAAAATTACAAAGTTAGTATTACGTCATTCGTATTCGTATTGAGCCACTAGTGTCCCACTGCTGGGCAAAGGCCTTCCACTCCTCCCTGTCCTCCTTGGTCTAATATTACGTCATGAAATATTTATAATTGCACAGATTTTTTTCCATTCGTTAACTTATAATAATATATTTTTCTAATAATACCACACTGAAAATCACTACAAAGTATAAAACCAAGTCGTCCCGCTGTCTGTCTCTCCCTATGTATCTTTAAAACTACACAACGGATCTTGATGCGTTTTTTTTTACTAGATACTATCTAGTAAAAAAACCGCATCAAGATCACTCTATCTACTAGATAGAGTGTGATTCACGAGGAAGGTTTATATATTAGTAATACATTGCACCCGTGCGAAGCCGAGGCGAGTCGCTAGTATTTTATAAAGCATAGATGACCTGGTGTCCTCGCCATTCTGAAGTCACGCATTCAACATGATTATTCTGTTTATTTATTTATTTACACTTTATTGCCGCCATTAAATAAAAAGGACTACAAAGGGCGAACTTAATGCCTTTTGGCATTCTCTCCCAGTCAATCCGGAGCTTGGTGAGAAATCGTGGTAGGTGCAATTATAACATTAATTACTTAAACACATTCAAAAATTATATATACAACTATATAATTCTCTATTGTATTTCTTACTTGCGAAAATCTCGGTCTCTAATTTGTGTACCTAAAAGGGTCATTACGTACTGCCGGCAGACCTACTAATAACTTACTTATTCTTACCTTTGATCTTATATTTTTAGTTAAAATAATTAGATCCTATATTGATAGGACGAGTTCCATACGAATTTCCCATGGACATATCTACATCAAGATTCGAAATGACGTGTGGGAACAGAACCCACAACCCTCTGTACCAAAGCCATATTACCTTAACAACCGTCTCAAGGTTTTTCTAGTTCTTACATAGTAGAAGTCAGTACCTTATTGCTTCTCTTAGCTTTCATGGATAATGGACTCGACTCTTGAGTGAAATAAAACTTGTTATCTTCTCATCTTGCGACCTATTCTCATTAATACAGATTTGATCGAATGCAATGCATTAAACCTTTCTCAGGATCTTGATAAGCACTTTTTTACTTTTTAATACTTTTCATTACCCTGGCCTCTTAAATTGACGCAATATCTGCTATTGACATAATAGGAGATAGCTTTTTAACAGTTAGCTCTACAACAGTTATAACTAATCACGGGTCAATTGTGATATCAGGGATGTCTTTGTCCATGTATGGTGGTGCAAAGGAAAAAAGGTTAAATAATGTATGTATTTGCTAAAGTTATTTAAATATTTAATGGCCCTTTATTTTATTACGGTACATGACATCTGAAGAAACGCAAAGTTAAAAAATAATAAAGGTCAATTATTAAAGAATTATAACTTTTTTCATGTTATAGTCTAAAATCTATTGGAAAAATACTAAAATTAATAACTGACAAATATAAGCATGGCCTTAAACTTTTAGCTGAATAAAAAAGTAAAACAGAAACAAGTTTTCGCAGCCCTAAAGCTCTTCCACAAGTCTCGCAAACATCTCACTCACGTATGATATAACCGGAGCCGAAAAAAAGGCCCGACGCGTCCCTCACTCACCTAGTGTTTCGACACCTTAAAAACCGTAATCCAACACACGAAGCACTGGCACAACACTGGTCGGGCCGAAGCGCGGAACGTCAAAATAGGCCATGTGTCGTTTACCGCCAAAAACGGTGTCCGCGAACGCACTGTTTTATAGTTTGCCTGCGCGTGCAAACACTGTTTTCGTCACCGGCCGTCGGGAGAACGGTCACCAGCGATGGTCACCGTCGCGTCACACGCGCACATCGTCGGCGGGAGCGCAACTCGGAAGCGGCGATTTGCCCGCGAAAGCGAACCGAGTTTTATTTTTAAATCGCGCTGCGGCCGGGCGCGACCGTCCGGGCGGAGTTCGAAATTCGGATTTGGGCTGGTTAGCGGCGCGCGGCACACATGCGCAGTGGCCGCTGTGTGCGGTCCTAGACTAAGGAATGTTCAGACAGAATATATTGTGCTATCGCATTAACATAAAATACGGGCAGCATTATGAATTCTATTGAAAATATTATGAGAATATTCGCAACAGGGCATATGATCGGTATTGCTTTTTTCAATGGTTATTTTATAGAAACCGAACAGGCGTTTGATCTGAGATTAAATGATTTGCACTGTACATGGACATCTACAAGAGATTGAAGCTAAACTATTGACTACTAACGCCAATGGAAAGATGGTTTAATAAAATTTCTTAATTATTCTTTTGGCTTTTTTTGGTGTCCCCTTTTTTTAGTAATACGTTTATATTTTGTTTAGCCTTAAGTTGTGATGTAAACAATATTTTTTTAAATAAATAAACAAAGGCTTAACGATTTAGATTCCCGCAACTATCCGTACTTGTATTAGTACAAGCAACTTGTTATTTTTCCGTACGTAAATGGCGTCATAACGACTCACGAGACAAACTCACACTATATTTTTCAGCATTTTTAAATTTTTATATGAAAAACTAGCAGCTACCCGTGATTACGTGTGCGTAGAATAAGGTGACGGCGTAACATTCAGACTGAAAAACATATATACTTACATAAAAATATGTATATAAATTATAGCCTATGTCTTATTCTGATGTATAAGCTATATTATTGTAAAGTTTCATTAAAATCAATTCCATAGTATTTGCGTGAAAAAGTAACAAACATCCATCCATAAATACAAATTTTCGCCTTTATAATACTACTAAGGAGTAAGGATGGATAGAATGGATCAACGATGGATAATAAGCAGCAGCGTATGGCAACAACATTTTTATTTGAATTTCAAACGCAATTCTCGGTTTTGCTTACGACCAACAGCAATTATGCCATCAACAGTTCCCGCATTTTACCCACATCTCCTTCTATACAACGACTCTTTGACCGGCTCACACGTCCGTCCGCGAGCTTTGCTGGCAGACTCGCCGGCGTTTACGTAGTTCGTACTCGCTGTATCACTGAAAATACACCCGCGATCACTTCGCCGTCACTGAAATAGGGTCGCCAGGCGGCCGTCGGGACTTTCGGGGATATCCCCTTAATATTGACCGTGAGTGGTGATGGTTTCGTAAGCAGGTATATGCTCTTTCTAGCAACGGGCAATTAACTGTTGCTTTAAACACTAGTACTTTATAAATTTCTAGATGTGACCGCGACTTCGTCCGCGTGGAATTTAAAATAAAAAAATACACTTAACATTAGGTGAACCATCTGTTCGCAACTTTTCACATAAAAACAACAAATAATATCTAAGCTCCCAGCGATTTTTTTTTGACCCAGCTGATATCATACATTCGTCTGCAAGCACAACCATGCCAAGCACTCAGAAGTCGGTATTCCTCAACGCGTTATTGCATACAACAAGCACTACATTTTTCAATGACAAAATTCTCCCACAAAACTCTTGCTCGTGGATAACATATTCCGAAGCCGGCAGGGTCGCGCTCTACTCAATTTCAGTGACGATTAGAAACCACCTACGCGAGCCGAATGTATTATTCGCCAGAGACAAATTGGCCCAACGCACACACGCGGACAACCTGACTTCATTGCTTTCATCTTCAATTTGTTTTTTTTTTTTTAAATAATTTTGAACAAAAAAAAACCGACTTCAAACAGCCCTCGATTTCTCTGGGATGCCATCATCAGATCCGGGTTTCCTTATCATTGTACCACCCTTGGGATATCTCCTTTCCAACAAAATAAGAATTATCAAAATTGGTTCATAAACGACGAAGTTATCCGCCTCCTTCTTTTTTGAAGTCGGTTAATAAGGAATGGGCAATCGATTCAAATTAAGGTATATGAGCCCCATACATTATTTCAATTGCGAGATAATTTATAATCAAAGTCAAAGTCAAAATTTCTTTATTCAACATAGGCTTATTTTAAGCTCTTGCTGAACGTCAAAAACTACCACCGGTTCTCTAAATTAGACCAGTCAGAGAAGAACCGGCAAGAAACTCTGCGGTCATATATTTCCTTTTTTTATAAATTATTTAAGTATATACACAAAAGTATTTTAGTGTAAAATAAGCAGGAGACAGGACTTGCAAGCGCAGAGCAAGAGTCATAATAATAGAAAATGCTTAAGATTACGGAGTCATCATCATCATCATTTCAGCCTGTTTGAGTCCACTGCTGAACATAGGCCTCCCCCATAGACTGTCACGAAGTACGATCCTGAGCCACCTGCATACATCGACTTCCCGCACATTTGCACAGGTCGTCACTCCATCTAGTGGGGGGTCGTCCCACACTGCGATGGCCAGTACGAGGCTGCCACTCAAGAACCTTTCTTCCCCAACGGTTATCGGTTCTACAAGCTATATGGCCGGCCCATCGCCACTTCAGCTTGCTAATCCTCTGAGGTATGTCGGTCACCTTAGTTCTACTGCGGATGTCTTCGTTACGAACTCTATCACGCAGAGAAATACCGAGCATAGCCCGCTCCATAGCTCGCTGAGCGACTTTGAGCTTCCTCATACGGCCAGCAGTGAAGGACCACGTCTCGGTTCCGTAGGTCATCACTGGCAACTCACATTGATTGAAAACTTTAGTCTTCAAACATTGAGGTATATTTGACGAGAAGATTTGTCGAAGTTTCCCGAACGCTGCCCATCCGAGTTGGATTCGTCGATTAACCTCTGCGTCGAAGTCATAATAATAGAAAATGGCTCTTATGAATGTCTCTTATTAATGCTCGTTATGAAAAAGCGTGCGTAATATACCTTATAACTGGCGAGCTTTACTAAATATAAAATTTACATAATGCTTAACTTCTGTCATACCCAATAAATAAATAAGGTACTCGAACATAAATTTTGAAGCGATCTTGACTTCTTAAATAATATTTTCATTAAATTCTGTAATCCGGCAACTTGCATTACTTACACCAATAAAATACATCCCCTGGAAAGAGTTGATGCGTATTTTATATTTTAAAGTTATATCTAGGTAATTTACCTAAAGGTTCATATAATTAAAATCTCGATACGTTTGGAGGGAGTTAACTGATACTAAGTTAAATAAATTCGCACAATGAAATATTACGTATTGTTTTCTATTAATAACGTCTGACGTCTGTTAAAAGCTTTCTGAAACATTAATACACAAGTGGTTCTGCCGTTAAAGGCAGTAGATAAAACTTTTACCCAATCATGTATGATTGGCTACCGGCTCTGTAGTCTTTCTTTTACTACATAATATATATATAATATTTTTTATTAATCTTTATTCATTATTAATTTAATTTAAGATATTTTGTCTTTTATAGCTTTGTTATTAATTTAGTGATAAGGGTACTTTACCTACTTAGTCTTTAGTTTTTAATTACTTTATATGTTTACTAATATGTTTTGTTTTAAAATTTATTTTAGAGAAGTATTACAATGCAATTGTAAACCTTAAGGCCCATTTACACGGTGCCAGTTTCTTGCCTGTTGTATACAATTAAATTGAAGCAATAAATGAGTTGCATGGTCTAAACAAGAAATGGTCTAAACAATTATTGCGCGCAATTTATTGCATTCAATTATTGCTCTTGTATGTTCAAGAAAATGGCATCGTGTAAATGGGCCTTTAATAGAGTGCAGTTTCGCCAATAAACTGTAATCTCTGTTTGGCGTAACTTATGTTTTTTGAACCAATTGTATTTACTTTGTTAATAAATAAATTAAAAAAATATATATATACTCAATAATTTGTACCTAAATGTAATTTCTAAAATACACGATTTACCTAAAAAAAACAAACCTAGCAAAGCTCGGTCCTACAGGCACTAATAATATTAACAAGAACGTCACGATTTTATACATTTTGGAAAGTTTACAGAACAATTTTCATATACTTACATATTATTACTTAAATTAAAAGAAAAATGTTAACACAAATACAAAAGTCATTAATAAAGTAACAAAACTAACTATTAAGCGCACAGTACTGATACAGAATTAGTTATTTATTATCTATGCATTTCCGCTATTTTATAGGTAGTTAATTGATTCCGTTTCTGATAAAATAGTGGGAGCTAGGATCAATAGAATCTTCTAAAGCGGTTCGGACTTCAAAATTTTCGAAAAAAGTGGTAATCTGTTGAAGCTAGGTCTGGGGAGAACGGTGGAATCGAAGCCTCTCCGATCGCAGGTTTTTTTATGTGAGAAGGTGGCAAACGAACTGGCGGTTCACCTGATGTTAAGTGATAACCGCCGCCCATTGACATTTGCAACGCCCGTGGGCTTGAAAATGCGTCGCCATCTTATAACAAAGTGGGCCCCGGCTACCTCACTCACGAAGATCCACTCTTCCACATCACGTCAGTCTTCTGTGAGGTCGTGGTATTTACCCGGGTGGCCTGCCCATTCGTGCAACAAAGAGGACTGTTGCGTGGCCAACCAAACCATGATCTCTCGGCAAAATTAATTTTTAACGATGCTTACGTCTATTGAGTTTTTGTATGTTCTGATAGTAATTATTTTCAATTGTCAAAAATATAATAAATCAACCAGTTAAATTATTGTTTTACCTGTGACATACTATTCCTTGACAGCTTTTCTGTAATCTAGTATTATTCTTAAACCATATCACAATACAAGGTAGCATTATTTTGTTTTTCAAACAAATCAAAAATATCTTTATTCAAATAAACGCTTGCGCGTTCTTATGAAACGTCAAATTTTACATAAAAATTTTATATATAGGTTCGTAAGGTACCACCGGTTCGGAAAGCAGTTTCTGCTGAATACAGACCGGCAAGAAACTTAACAGTTGCTCTTTTTCAAAAATATCAGTTTACAATGTAACATACATGTATAATGCAGTACAGCCTACGTGAGTATCAACAAATTCAAAATTCAAAAACATTTTTATTCACATAGACGCTTGCGCGTTCTTATGAGATGTCGAAATTTTACATAGAAATTAATACGTTCGTAAATTACCACCGGTTCGAAAAG